AGCTAACTTTTGTGTAAGAAAGTTTAGTTGAGAAGCTATAATCTTTTTTATACAAAAATTTATATATAGAAAATCATTTGCTAATTTTTTATTCTTATATATCTTGTATTCTAAATACAATTCTTTTCTTCAAAGTCCTCTTTCTTTCAATACTAATCTTAACTCTTTCAACTTTTCTCTTATAGTTAGATCCTTATAATTTTCTTCAAAAACTATTTGCTGTATTTTTTTATTTCTATCAGAATTAAAAAAAGTTGTTAATTGTATTACTAGTTGATTCTCTCTGAGTTCAAAATTCATTTTTGGTATGATAAGTATATCTTTTGCATATACTGCATGGTTGGTGCTATTATCAAAAGCAAAGATAGTAGTCATATTAGAAAACTTTACTTCAAATATAAGAATTACTTTATTTCTTATTTGGTCTAATAAATAGTAAACATCTAATAGTTTTTTTAGTTTTTACTAGGTATAAGATAACAACAAGCCTTTGCAGAAATATCTAGGTATATCTCTACCTTCTTACCAGTTAATTTCAGCTAACTATATTCTTCTGTTAGAAATTCATTTACAATTATTGACTTTCTATTTCCCTTTTTTCATAAAAGTATTTCACTATCATATATTCAAATTCTTTTTTTTCTATTATTTGAATAAAATCTATATTCATCATAAGTTATAAAAATTAACTCTTGTTCTCCTTTATTAAATACTAGTAGAACTTTTATCATTGATTATTCCTTATATGTTACTATTCTCTGCTCTAATATTCTTAATCTATCTAAAAATATATTTTGATATACTATAATATCTTCTTGCTCATATCTATCAACATACATCTTCTTTTTATATTCCCTATATTTATATTCTAAAATTTTTAACTACCTTTTCACTATTCACAAACAAAGTTTTTTTTAAAACTTTCTTATATACTCTGGTAAAATATAATCATTTATATACTACATAAAACTAGTTAAACTAATTCTATTTTCTCCTAATTCTTTATGTATCTATTTTTTATACTACAAAGCAATATTTTTGTTATCAATAGTCAATAGTGTTTTTGGTTCTAACCATATTGTGTAATTAGAAATAATTTATAGTGTAAATAAAATTGCACTAAAAAATGAATTCTCTGAAATATATATTGTTTTGAAGAGATATAGAAAACATATACAGCTTTATTACTTGCTTTCATCTTGCTATCACTACTATCTAATCATACCAAATATTTATAGACCATCTGTTGTTCATTATATTTAATAGCTATTAAATTTTTTTAATTTTTTGTAAAGTCTTCATTAAGTTGTTCAATTCTTTCATAATGTGTAAATTTATTATCTGCATTCTTATTCAAAAGAGACACCAAGAGTGTAGCCCTGCTAAAAAACTCACTTGCTCAGAAAGTCATAAAAAACATAGAAAACATAGAAGATATTGAAAACCTTCTGAGCAACTTGCTTAATAATAATAACAATAATTCAAACTTTTTATATATTAATTATGCAAAAACTAAAGACACATTACTAATCTCACAATCCTAAAAAAGTCAGTAATTTAACAGGTTTCCTTGGTGGTATTTGCAAGTATACTAGAAGTACTGAACTTATAATAATATATTGATTTTAGTAATCCTTTAATTATCCTTGTATTTTCCTTTTTATCTTTCTTTTATATGATTATTGAAGCTATTATTGTTTCTTCATTAAGTTCTTTTTTACTTTCTTCATCAAATTAATTACTTTCAACAAATATATCTTCACTAAAAACATCTTTAGTAAAGATATCTTCACAAATATTTTCAGTAAAAAAATCTTCTGCTCAGATATTGTCTTCAGCAAAATTGTCTATTCAAATATCTGAAATTTTCTTTTATATTTTTTTTTGTTTGCTCTCTTCTTTTATTATTATATTCTTGAAGCATCCAAATCATTTTGTAATTCTTTTACTTTAGTATACTTTAGTGATAGTTCAAATAATTATGAAAAAAAAAAAAATTTTTTTTATAATTTCTGATGAGAAGTATCTGAATTTTCTGATACAAAGTATCTGAACAAAAACTCATCAGGAAAAAAAAAAAAATTATAAATAATTCAAATTCCAGATACCCTAACTTTAAATTCTTAAATCTATACCTCATATTTTCTTCTTAAATAAGTTGTTAAGACATAAAAATAATTTAATATATCCTTTAATATTAAAAAGACTTTTTTTATACTACTGTAGAGTATAAAAATTTTGAAATTATAAGTATATATATGACTTGTAATTAACTAATAAAATTGTGAGTATGAGTAACATTAAATTTAATTAGCTGATCCAAGTTACATTTTTTGTCCTATTTGTTATTAAGCATATATAAAATAAGTTTTTTTAACAGTTATAAATCATAAATAATCAAGTTTTTTTTTAAAAAAAAACTATTAAGTTGTAGTAAATAAAATTAGCTACAATTTAACAGCTTTTTTTTTTTTTGTATGATTTTTCTATTATAAGTTATTAGTTTTTAAAAATTATTAAATTTATTTTAATCTTTAGTATTGTGTACTATAAAATTCTAAATTTTATTCTTATCTAATTTTAATTAAAATTTATTGTTTATAAAATTAATTTAATTTTAATTTATATAAGCTCTTTTAAAAATATATTATAATACTAAATTTAGATTAAATTTAGGTTAAGCAAACTATTACTTAGATATAATATATTATATTTTGTAATATTTAGTTTAATCTAAATTTAATTTAAATTTAATTTAAATTTAATATTTTAAATTAAAAATTCTAGACTTAAATTAGATTTAAATTAAGCTAAATATTATATAAATATAATATATTATACTTTTGTGATGTTTAGTTTAACCTAAACTTAGTATTGTAATATATTTTTAAGATGATTTAATATAAATTAAATAATTTTCTTTTATAATGATTTTAAATTCTAATTGGTTAAACACTTAAGCTACATTCTAGTAATATATCACCATGGCGATAAATAGTAATTCTTATAAAATAAAATAGAAAATTCTATTTTGACCTAGGTTAAAATAATCTGACCAAAAATCAACTAATCAGAATAGAAAATATCATGTAATAGAACAATAACTTGACTTTTGTTTTGATTGGTTGATTTTTGAAAGTCAGATTATTTAACTCGAGTTAAAAAAATAGAATTTCTCAAATAAAATTATCTTAGTAAAAACTTAACCAATTTCGGTGTTTAAAAAGATTTCGAATTCTAAATTGTTTAAAATTCGAAAATGGTTTAAACGTTAAGTTCCAAGTTTACATAATCGATAATCATGTGTTAAGTCGGGTCAACCAACCCCGATTAACAACTCTAATTAGACGTTGTACTACATTTTACACGTGTTTAATCACGTGTAAATAAAGTTCGTTCCGTACAGTGTGACACCGCATACACGCATATATACCGTATATATCGATATATAAAAAGAGATCTTGCCTGTTCGGATACATATAAAATGTACCGGTGATTTTAATGAACATGAGAAAAAAATTTTTAATTTATAAAATTTTACATCCGGTTACTAATCAAGTTTGCAAGTTTAATAATTAGGTAAAAGGCTTTGTTGATATCCTGAATATTAATTTAGCAAAAAAAATTTTTTTTTTTACACTAAGTTTCAAATTTCAAGCACATAATCTATAAAAATAAGACCATTTTGTTATTTATGCATAGTGTTACTCTTTGTAATGTTGATTGTGAAAAGAAATTCACTTTTCCGCTCAAGATTAGGAATGAGCTTTAGTATGTTAGAATCGAAAAATCCATTTGGCATATAAATAAATGCGCCGAGTGACCAAATTCACATGATATTGATACAAATATACCGCAGTGATGTAAATGTCAAATTTATCACACAAATAAAACTTTGCCAAATTCACACCTCTCATAATGTATAATGGAACCACCAAAGGCAATTGTGAAAACAGAAATGTCTTTTAGAGTGGAGAATTATATATTCGAAGAGCCGTCAAGCATTTATTAGATTTAAATTTTTTATGAGAATTTAAATATTTCACATGCAAATTACAAAACGCAAGTTACACAGAAATAAAATTAAGAGTATGAGAAACTTAAAGAACTATTCAAAAATTACTAGAAAAGTGTATTTAGGTGTCACGTATGAAACCTAAATATTGACGCGACTATTCATTTAGATAAGAGTTCACATGGACCTTTATTTTTAATATAGTCGTGCATAAGAGAAGCGTCAAAAACAATATATTTAATTACCATGATAATTATGCACAGACTATTTTACACTGTGTAGGATGTGGCGGGAATCTTACCTATGTGAAGCAAGAGGAGGTAAAAGAAAAAAAAAAAAGTTCTATCCGTTATTGTGCGAGGAGTTAAACTTAATGTGATAATAATAACAAAGAACATGCAGATCTTGAATTGAAATCTTTGTACATGATTTAAGCGAAAAGATGACGCAAAGGAAAATGGTTAGTTCATAAAACCAAATTCTTTAATTTTTCGTTACATTTTTATGCAAGCAAAGTTTAAAATTAAATAGTTTGCTGATTTAAATAATATAATTTATTGCCTGCAAAAAAAAAAAAAAAAAAAAAAAGGTTTATTAAAAAAACATTTAACGTTAAAATAAGGATAATAATGGTCAAAAGCATTCACATATTACTGTAAAAGTTGCTGCATATCGTACCCAAATTCATTATCAGAACATCTACATATGTATGTACTTGCCCAAAAAAAAAAAACTTTTTGAAACTTATTTCCCCTATTCCAAGATAAGAGCTATTTTCCTTATTATCACTTTCTTTAGATTCAAAAGCGAGTATGTTGATTTTTTCAACCTTTCATCCTTTAACCCGATTTTATTGCAAATCCCAATATCTAATTACATTCATTTTATATTCAAAATAGCTTTAATAATAATTATTAGAAAGATTATTATTATAACGACAAGAACGCGGACGTATAAACAAGTTAAATTTAAATATACATACTAAATGACACTTACGGAAACGACGCAGACTTCTATTGAAAAGAACGACGACCTTCGTATTCAAGAATTAATCGCTGCTTCTCAAAAGTTACTCAGTCAAAATACACAACCTCCTACTCCCACCGCTACCTCTAGTTCAGGTTTCAACTTTAACCCAGAGATTGTGGGTCAAGAGAAACAACAATTACGAGCAAGGAAGGCAAAGACAAAAAGCTCTGAAAATTTAAACGGTTTCGGCGACACTTCTGATATGTCCTTGCCTGTGTCGCACAACGGTTCAACTCCTTCGGTGATTAGTATGACGAATGGTTCGACCCCTGCACATATAGTTTTCAACAATGGTACCACTGTTGGAAATATCAATAGTGGTTCGAATTCACCTAGCTCAGGCTCTTCAGCTTCAACAAATAGTATGGCGAACGCAATGCGAGGTGAAAGAAAATCATACAAAGAAAGAACTGATCACGAGATCCCTACTGGCCCTCCTGAACTCATGAGAGATCCAACTTCTGACTCTTTTTCCACTCATGCTCATAGTTGGCCTATTGTCTTTGCCGTTGTACCACCTATGGGTGCTCTTATTTATGGTAAATCTGACGTTTGGAGTGATTTCCTCTTGTTACTCCTGATCGCTTTTTACCTATATAATATTATTAAAGGTATAATTTGATTTATTTACTGATATATATAATGCTTAAATTTATAATGATTAAAGTGATTAAAATAAAGTTTAGAGATAATGATGATTTTGTTAATTCTAATACATTAATTTTATTTTTTTTAGTTCCATGGGAGCTTTATTATGCTGCTAGGTCAAGACGTGTCATAAATGAGAACCTTCCAGGCCAGACTGCAGATCCGGCTCAGGAAGCTCAACGAAATCAAGCAGCAAAAGAACTTCGTTTACAAGAAATGTGGGCATTATTACTTGTTGTTGCTTCTCCAATAATCGGTGGTTATGCATTACACGGTGCAAAAATGTACTTGACTGATTATGATAAATACATCTCCCATTTCAATATTGTACTATTTGTATTTGCTGCTGGAATTCGTCCGTTAATGCATATTGCTAATCTTGCCAAAAATCGGACCTTACATCTACAAGAACAAGTTCATTACCCTAGTACTGAAGTCGAATTATTAAAACGTCGTGTACAACATTTGGAATATGAATTTTCTCAATTACGTCGTGGATTTGCAACGAAACGTGATATTATAAATGTACGTGATGGATTTGAACCAACTTTATCTCAATTAAATAAAGCTGTGAGACGATATGAGAAAAAAGAACAATGTCTTCGAAATTATTCTGAAGAAAGATTTGCTTTTCTGGAATCTAAACTTCAGGAATTTGATACGTTTATTTCTTATAAATTACAAGAAGAACAAGCTGTTAATGTTCCACGTAGTATGATGCAATTCATGTTCTTACCATTTAATATTGCATTCACCATATTGGGGTACGCTACTTATTTCTTACCGAGATCTTTACGAGGCACTAAACAAACTCCAATGTTACAGTCTGCCTTAAATTCTGATGATGATGATAGATTGAATGGTGACATATCACAACAAGAAATTACTGTTGGAAGTCTACAAAAATATTAATGGATAATACTGTATATTTATTGAAGTTTCTATTAACAACTTAAAAACCATTAATTATTTTTTTATTTTTTATTTGGTTTGCAAAATATGATTATGTCAAATATTTCAACATTTTGTATGAACTCTTTAAAAATTGAATGTTTGGTTTATAATTTATTTTATTAACATCAATTTATTGTGAATTCTTGTATTCTTATTGCTTTTATTATGCTGTTCTTTGCTTTCAATCCTTTCATTCTTTGAGTTAAATCTTGCTTCACGTCGATCATGTTACGAGTGGAAAAATTTTTAACCAAATTTATTCAAGGGTTGAATTATTTTTTGGTATATCCTTTTTTCTTTTTTTTTTTTTTTTTAGATACAGTATATACCAAAGAAAAAAAAAAAAAAAAAAAAAAAATTGATTTGTATATTTTTCTCAATCTTAATACAATGAACTATATATAGCTGATAAAATATTAAAATATTTTTATGTATTATCAAATTTATAAATTTATTCAGATTAAAATCTTTCTTTGCATTACGGATGAGATTGCTTATTTGCATATCAACAATTTCAAAATGTTTTAACTAACATACAGTAATACTTATGTTTCGAACAATCTAATCCCTGATTACAGTTCGAGCTTTCTATAAAAGTATAATTGTAAGTATTTGATTCTAGAAAAAAGAAATATCGTAAATTTATTGTAATAAAATATTTTGTACTGTTATTTTATATATGAATATTAGAAAGGAGAATGTTTTTTGAATAATTCCAAGTCTTGAATATATACCCACTTTGAGCATTGTCTCGAGATACAAACAAGCATTAAATAAAAGTAGACAAAAATATTATTAAATAATATAATTAATTCCAAAAGTACATTATGATACACGAAAAGTATGTTGAGATGGAAATGTCCGTGCTGATTCATATGATGTCGGATATACTTTAATAGGAATTGAACAATCAAATGTTTCAACGTTAACATCTTCGACCGCTTGATAATAATGATGCCGTTCATCCGCGTTAAGCGGCATCAACGGATAATTATTTTTAGTTCCAGTGATGAATTCTAGCCGTAAGAACCACTGAAGTTTCACTGAAAAAGAAATCAATTAACAACTAAAAATGATTGATTAAATTGATTACTAGATTATTTACCCCCTGTAGTTGCAAAATCCGGTGTGCTATTGGTCGGTATTGAAATAGCGAAACTTATTCGTGATGCATTCAGACAAAATTCATGATGTTCACCATGTATTTTACGCGTCAATCGTGATATTTGTTGTTGTGGTTTATTGGCTACAGATGATTCAACTTGTTCACTATTCTCCAATGTGATAGATACCTGTCATGAAATTTTTGTCGTTGAATCAAAAAAAGCACTTTTTTAAAAGATATAATAATATGCACAAAATTCAAACCTGATAACTAAGTATAACAGCATCATTGAAATTTAGAGTTCCTGTGACAATGTCTCCCAGCCGATATAATGTCTTTAAAAGACATAATTGTGCTACTCGCTGATTATTTTTACAAATATCATAATTTACTACAAAAAATAAAATAAATTCAATAACAAATAATTATTATTATAAATATATTATCACGTGATCTATATATGGCCAAAATATACCTTTTCGAGTGTTCTTTGATATAATAGTTGCCGTATTGGTAATAGAGTTTATCCCCTTCTCCACAAAGACGTAATTATCGCTATCCCTTTTCCCATCATCTTTATTGTCCATATCTAAATCTAAATTGTCGGAACTTTGAACGAGCTTCGCTACATAATCTATGAATTCTTCACGCTTGTTGTCTAAATGATATTTTCGTAAGCAACGAAACTTTAAAAAAGAAAAATTGTTCCAAAATAATAACCTCGTTTTTTTACTGGTAATGATAGTTCCGGACTATCTTCTTTGCATTTTACAATAGCTTCATCTTTGTGAATAATAACCGGATTCATCAAATCATATACTGGTCTCGAACCATCATCTATAAACAAGAACAAGAAAAATAATAACTATGGTAAACTCTCTAACAAACACTATATAAGTAACAAACTTTTAATATCAATTTACCAGAGACAAAGTTGAACACACGGAAAGGCAATTGAACTATATGTGATTGTTGATTCAACCCGCCTCGATGAGTTCCTATTATCAAATAATAATTAAACCGAATTGCTTTACCACGATGTGATGGGGGTAAATCTGTCGGTAGCCTAGTCTCGTATGTGTCTAACCGCAAAAAGAAAAATACCTGTTTAATATATTCAATTAAGCATACTCGGCAAGAAAATAAAATAGACATCAAATATTACAAGTACGAGTTTCCCCTGGTATCAAATGTAAATCACAAAATAATATTGATGGTGGAGTTGAGAAAACAGGTATAGATCTACTGTCTAAATAATAGGTTAAAACATTAATTTCATATTTTGTAATAATATTTCAATAATAATAATCATATAGAATACCCGCTCGTTCTTGGAGATCTTGTAAACTTGAGGGATGTATTGAATTTGGAGTGAATATTCCTAACGTCCCACCACCTAAAGCACCTCCAGCACCACTCCCACTAGCTGGTCGATACATTGTCTTTGTTTTCAATGGCTCAAATTCGACAGACTTCACTAAAGAACTATCTACCACGAATTGGCCAATTATTTGTGCAAAGCCCCATAATAATGTTTCATACTTTTGACTGAGAGTAGGTGAAGAACTACATCGCCCACTTCCAATTGAGGAACGTCCACTGCCACTACTATTTCTTTTATAATCTGTTAATGACCCACTCCAACTATTACTACTTCTGTCGTCAGAATGTCCAATTCCATAAAAATCAGCAGAACTTCGTGGAGATGATTCTGAAGTATCATAATCACTAACAGAAACACCGTCACTACCATCAGCTTGTTGTAAATTAATTAGCCCACCATCATCATATGTCTCTTCTTCAATGTAAGTAAACGGCGATGCCGTTGACTGAGTAACATTGCCTTAAAAAATATTAAAAAATATTAGCAAAATAAACATTTACTTCACAATAATAAACAAATTGAATCATAAAATTCGTACTACTATTTTTTTCAGTATGTTCATTATTTCGTAATGGTGATAACGGTGGTTGTGATTCTCCGCTTCCCATGGAAAGTAAGGAGAGTGTCGAAGACGCAAACGCAGTTAACGTCGATCTCTTGACCAAGTTACGGAACCCAAACATTCCCGATTCACCAAGATCTCCAGCTAGGCTATTTTGAATCGAGGGATTCTCTACTATTGCTGACAAGGGATTTCCGTTTAAACCCTGCCTAGGTTTCTTTCCTGGTGATTTGGGTTCCTGACTAGATTTTGTGTGGCTTATAAATCCATTTTTATTTGCTATGTTTGGTATTTTGTCATTGGAGAGCTTTTCTACCGTAGGAAGTGGATATTCGAAAGTAATTTCGCATCGAAATCGTTCGTCAGAAAAAAAAACTGCATTTTGAGGAATTTTGGCTGTGACAACGATAGACATTCTGCGATCTTAAATTTATGTAGTAGTATCAGTTGAGATATTATTATTTACTTTGTAATTTAGTATATTTTTGTTCCTCATTTGTTATCTCCATTAAAATATCGCCTTGTAAATTAACTAAAGCGAATTTTTAAAATGCATTCAAGAATTTATTATTAATTGTTACCCCTTTTATAAAATTTATAACATCGCGTAATTGGTGTAACATCATCTAATTTCGATTTATTTTATTTTATCGAAAAAAATAATTACGTACATACTTTCTAAATTCGAAAACGAATAAAAGGGTGAAACATTTTTACATTTTTAACAAATTTCAGTGTCTAGTAAACTATAATCTTATTTAATTTTTTCCATTGAAAACTTCGTGTTTAATTTTTTTTTTTTATGACGACAAATGTCGACTCTGAAATAATCACGCTACTTTTGGTTAATAAGGGCGTGTTTAGGCGAGATTAAGACCATTTGCATCAGACCAAATTTCATGTCCGTTAATATCTTCTCTTTAACGAACCTAATCCTTTTTTATTCACTTAAATCCGTCTGCTTAGCGTCTATTATAGATGTTTAAATCCGGATGTGTTACCAAGATGGTCCCAAGAATAGGCAATCAAGGGTTTGATTGGCTCATTGATTTTAAAAAAATATCGCATACTTGTTTAGAGATAATGGCACAATTAACGTTATGAGAGTATGAATAAAATTACTTTACCTTATATGTATCTTGCATTAATTTGCTTTATAATTAATCTTAAAACATAAATTAACCATAGAGAAAAAACACCCTAAATAGAAGATTTTCGATTCAAATTTTTGTTTAATCAGTTAACATTTTTCATTATACAAGGCTAATACAAATTGGTATCTCTTTGGTACATAATGGTATTATTCTAATTTCCATATTCAATTTTATCGTTATTTAATTATATCTAGTGACAATTTTAGGGCTTAAAGTTGATTTACCAATTTTAAAATTTCCAAATTTACAAAATTTACAAAATTATGTAAATTTCTGTTATCATTTCTCTGGCGAGGCGTACATACGTTCGTACTACAATATGACTAATAGATAAGGATACCATTCATCGAGTTATAACACGTTTCACTAAATGTCGGTTATAAGGGAAATATATGTAAAACTTTGTTATAGTGCACGCCACCGATATGATATAGCGATTGTATGTACTCCTCTGAATTCTCAGACATAAAGCCAATATTCTAAATATTTGGGATACGTTAGCAGTTTAATTTCATATATCTGATATTTTTTTTTTTTTTTTAAAAAAAAAAAATTTTGACCTTATAGTTAAGGTGAGGTCTTGTAATATATCTGATATGTTTGAAATGCTACGTATAATGTAGTTATTATTATTAATACTTGTTAATAATACAGTGTTATAGATAGCGTAGTCTTCTTAGTACACTATAAGTAACAGGAACATAGCTTTCTAGAGACTTTAAGAAGTAGTGTCAAAGAGGCAGATATAATTTTTTTAATATTAAAGAATTATACTCATCTCTAAAGAAACAATTTTTTTATTTATTAATATAGATATGTTTACAATACATTCTTCTTGTTTTTATTTTTTACTTAGATGATCTTGTTTTTTATTTTATTAAGAGACATACTAAATAAGTACTATGATAAATACAAAAAATTAAGACTAAACAAATTTTAAGACTGTCTTCTTCTTTGCAATTCTAGACTCATTTGGCTATCTACTTAGTACCCAAATACGATCTGCTATAGCAGCAAATTTTCCTTCTAGAACTAAATATATATTAGAGTATGTAATCTTAGTTCTGATCAAAAGAAAGCTACTACTAGCCATATCAAAAAAGCTTAGTTACTTGTTTTTAAATTTTAACTATTCCTCATACTCCTCTTTTTGTATTCAATTTTTAACTTTGTTATTTGCTATCATAAGTATTTTTTTCTCTTTAACAGATTATATTTTTTTCTTTTGAGAGTTTGTATCTGAGATATTTTCTTTATTTGCTACTTTCTTTCTTTTTTTTTTACTTTGTTTTTTCTTTTTTATTTAGAAATTGATTCTTTTTTCTTTTTCCTAGTTTGTCATAACTTCACAATAGAATTTTCATAGTCTTTCATAAAAGTTTGACCAAAAGAAGTCAATAAACCAGTTTACTACTTAATTTGCTTTAAATCTAAATGCCAAAAGGTCTTTCACTTCTTTGATATATTTTTTGTTAGTTAGACCACAGAGATATAACTTTCTTCTTAGAATCTTCTCTTCTGTTATAACTCTCAAAAAAATCTTAGCTAGATCTTTACCTGTTATTAAACGATTCTATTTTTCTAAGATCTTGTATCTGACCTCTTCTATGATTATTATTTTTATTACAAGTGATATAGTCTTCTTAGTATATCACAAGTAACATAAGATACAGAAGAAGAACTCTCAACGGTATCAAAGTAGGATATTACTTCACAAAGGTGATTCATTAGAAAGATTATATTAAAGCAAAGAGTATTCTTTATTTATGATATAATATTAATAATACAAGACTATCTATTAGTATCTGTGCTAAAAAAATTCCAATATTAAAGAGATTGTAAAGGACAAACCTAACTTTAACAGAAGGGAGAAAAAGCAGGGTTTTTATATCTTTTTTCTAAACATTCTTAAATGTAGTTAAATATCTTTAAATATAGTTAAATGTTTTCAAATATCTTCAAACATCATCAAATGTTATCAAACGTCTTCAAATATCATTAAACGTCTTCAAGCATAGTTAAGTATAGTTAAATATCAATAGAAATTTCTAAATGCTAATAACTTTATAACTACTAATCTAATTCTTACAAATTATAGCTTATTATAATTACGAGACTATTCTGATTCTAATAATGCTAGTTAAAGATATTGCTAACTTATAAGATAATTTATAAAATATAAATAAAGAATAACTAATTAATAAATATAAAAT